AAGCTGTCCTCACCCCTGTTTGTGGAAGATAAAACAAAAGGTCAAAGCAGTAGGTAATTGGCCCAGAGTGAGTCACAGCCAAGAAGGGCAGGTGTGGCCAGTGACCTTCATCTCTATCCATTTGCACACACACAGCTCCAATTCTGCTGTCCAACACCAAGTCATGTAGAAAAGTGCAAGCACAAGGTACCCCAAAGGGAGTAGTTCCCTCACCAGCACCCCACAATCGTGCTTAGAGACAGATCTGTGCTAACATAAGAATGATGGGTTGTTGTTGTTTTTGTTTCAAGTTTTTAAATGCTTTTTGAACTGAAAATCAGGGCTGGCGTATGACTCAGTAACCTGAGCACCTGCCTGGCATGTGCAAACACATAAAAAAAATCAAATTTATGTTATCAGTTTTATTTTAGTATACATATAACCTCACATATCTAAGATATACTCGAATTTAACCCAAGACACATCTGTATTAGTCAGGGTTCTCTAGAGGAACAGAACTGATAGAATAAATCTATCTATATTAAAAAGGGATTCTTTACTGGAGTGGCTTACAGGCTGTGGTCCAGCTATTCCAATAATGCCTGTCTCCCAAGGGAAAAGCCAAGAATCCTATAGTTGTTCAGTCCTTGAGGCTGGGTGTCTCAGCTGGTCTTCAGTAGACTCCAGAATTCCAAAGAAGTAGACTCTAACGCCAGTGAAGGGATGCCTCAGCAGCAGGATGGATGAACGTGCCAGCCAGAGTGAGAGCAAGCAGGCAAAAAAAAAAAACCCAAAAGCTTCCTTCCTCCATGTCCTTTTACATGGGCTGCCCCCAGAAGATGTGGTAGCTATTTAGGGTGTATTTTCTGACCTCAAATGACCCAGATTTAGGGTGAGTCTTCCCACCTCAGATGATCCAATCAAGAAAACCCTTCAGGGGTATGCCCCGCTGCTTGGGCTTAGTTGATTCAGGTTGACAACCACGATTAGCCATCACATTATTTGCATATATCTAAAATAAAGTGGAAAAGAATTGCTAAACTTGAGAAAAACATTTTCTCCATTGTACAAACAGTCCCCAAAAGGCTAAAGGAAAAAGGCTGTTTAAAAAATAGCTTTATTGAAATGCAGTTCCAACACCCATTTCATTAATGCATTTAAAATGTGCAACTCGGTGTTCTTTGTATATTATATTTTTTAACTTATAGATTATGATAGAGGATATGTAACATAAAAGTTTCCATTTTAAAGAGCTGGGCTATAACTCTGTGGTAGAATGCTTGCTTAGCAGGCACAGGCCCTAGGTTCCCGTCTACAGCCTTGAAGAGAAAGAAAAATTTGCTGTTTTAACTGCCCTTCAGCATTCCACTCCGAGGTATTAAGCGCATCCCCCGTATCCTGCAGCATCGCCGCTGCCTCTTTCAAAGGGTATTCTTTACCTAGATGAAAACTCTGACCCTTAAGCAGTGGCTCCCAGTACCTCTGTCCCTCAGTGCTCAGTGGTCTCTAATTCTATTTTTAAAACAGTTTTACTTCCACATTAAAATTAAGTGGAAAATACAGAGTCTGATAAGATCCTTGTTTCCCCCCCCCCATCATCATCCCCCGCTTCTGCCTTTCTACACCCAAGTGGTCCTTGCAAATATCTCTCTATTATTGTGCATGACATGTGTATGGTGTGGGGGTGGGCATGTGTGCCTCAGCGCATGTGTGAAGACCAGAGGACAGGTCGGTAGAGTCAGTTATCTCCTGCTTTTACTGGTCACCAGGCTTGCGTCATTGTACAGCACATGCATAACCCACTGAACAGTCTTGCCCACCCAAAGCAGTCCCTTTGTTAGAGCTGATGAGCGGACGTGTGTTCAGAGTCCACAGCCTGTGATCTTTTTGAAGGTTTATTTTCATTAGTGTGTGTGTGTGTGTGTGTGTGTGTGTGTGTGTGTACGTACGTGTACTTGTGCACACGTGCACATGAGTACAGCCGCTCACAGAGTCCAGAACACCCCCTGAAGCTGGAGTTACAGGCTGTTGTAAGCTGTCTGACATAGGAACCAACCTCAGGTCCTCTGTAGAGAATCAAGTGTTCTTAACCACTGAGCCCTTGGTTGTATCTTCTGTGGCTTTAGGTAAGTATCTAATGGCGCATTCACCACATCATATGAAGCAGTTTAACTGTCCTAAAACCCCTGTGTTTGACTATTCATCCCGCATTAATTTCTTTATGTAATGAACCCACTTCTGTGCTGTGAAAGTTGAGGCACTTACATTTGGACCTTCATTCTTCCACGCCCAGTTTTTGTTAATTGTATTATTATTGCATTGTTGATGTTTTCATATACTTCAGGAACCATAATCGCCAAAGTTGCAAAACTAGTTTGTTTACATCTTGATTTTGCATGGATGAATTTACCATGATTTAGCTTTTGGCTTGTTGGGTTTTAATACCAGATGATATTTTTAAAGACGGTGTTATCCATGTCTAAGCCTCTAAATTCATGTTTCAGAGTATTTGCTGATCACACCTAAATGGCTGTTTAGCTGGGTGTAACATTCTGGTTCCTAAGTCCTGCCTCTTAGCGCTCTGCGGATATCCCTGCAGAGGCTTCTAAAATTGTCTCGTTGTGAGGTCTGGTTCTCGCCAGCCCGTCTCCCCCTACCGTCTGCTTACACTTCTTTTTCTCTAGTCCTTAAGGTCACTGAGTTCTTCAGAATGTATCTTGCTATTATTTTTTTTCCTAGAACATAGAATATGATCTAATCTGTAGGGTTAGGCCTTAATTTAATTTATTTATTATCTTGTTACATTAAAGAAATTTCAGAGAGCTACAGAGGAGACTCAGTGGGTAAAGTGCTGTGCAGACATGAGGACCCGAGTTCAGATTCTCCAGTCCCGGCCCAAAAGCCAGATGTAACTGCACACAACTGTATTTTAGTGCTGGGGAAGGGGATGGAGACAAGACTCTGAGGGCCCACTGTTCAGATACTATAACCAAAATAGTGAGCTCCAGGTTCCATGAGACCCACTGTCTCAAAATATAAGATGGAAGGTAATAGAGGAAGACCTCGGGCTCCACGTGTGCGCACCACAATACACACGAAACTGGAATTGTTTAGGAAGAAAGGTTTCTGTGACCTGTCTCAGTCCTTAGGTCCTGTTCTGCTCAGGGGCACTCACTCCAGTGAGTGTGGGTTAGCGCCTCTGCTGCTCACAGCTGCCTTTTTGTCTCCCTGGTCTCCGGTTTACTTGTGTGAGTTCCTCAAATCCACTGGCCACATCTCTAGTCGCTGGTGTTGTGTTTTGCCCGCTTAGCCATGAATTCATGTGCCTGTTTAAAACCGTGAGCCATGTCTTTTCTTTCCCGTTCCCCTGAGCTCAGCGAGCTTACTTTCTGTCTCATTATTGTTGAAGAATGTCTCGCCATGTCTCATGTGCTCACTTAAGCAGCACATACACTAAGTTTCTGAGCTTCTTCCCTCCCTCCCTCCCTCCCAGCGGCTTGTCCTAGGGGCCCCCCATCTCGGCAAACAATGTGAAGGTCTTCGGTTAGATTCCACAGGGAATGACAGACTGGTCTCCGGTCACATTGTCACTCGGGACTGAGTCCTCTCTCTCGCTGTCGGTCACTGTGCACTTGGTGGTGACAGTACTGGGCTGTTTGTCCCTTCCTGCTGTCTGAGTCTCTGCCTGCCTACCTGCTTGCCTCCGTAGTTCCTGGCAAGCAGAGTACAGTCCCTGTACTGCACACAGCCTGAGTGGAGGTGCAGTCTTGGCCTTCATGGTCTGACAGTCCTCAGAATGCTCTTACGACTAAGTTTCACTCACAACCCAGCTCCGCCTGCCTCAGTGTCTGTACTGTGTCTCTGTCCCGGGGTGCACATGTGGAAGGGTGGACATTGTCTGTGTGGTTACAGCTCACCTGGTGGCTTGTCTTTGGAGTGTCATTATGTACTTGTTCTAGATGTGTCCTCCCAGAGGCTCTGAAAGCCCAGCGACTAGTGGTGTCTGCACGCTGGCCAGGCTCTAAGATTTCATCCCAGGACATCTTTGAGGGGCTGAGACCTTGAAGGAATGTGCTTTCTCCAGCCTGCAAATCCTGCTTTGACACTAGACTGGACACCAGTGGTCTGCTGTGCAAGTGACTAGTTAAGAGCCGGAAAGGGTAGTCAGCTTCCACTGCCTGCTGTCTCGAGAGTGTGTCTGATTCTGTGATTGAAATGACAAAACAAGACTTACTCAGGGTCACTGTATAACCCTAGTGCCATGAGGGAACACACTGGTTCTGAGAACCCCACAGGCCTGAGACCACCTGTGTCCCCAGGCCTTGTCTTCTCTCTGGCTAGCAGATGTGGGTTCAGCTTCATAGGTTATGTAGAGATGGACTCTGATTGGTTGGAAGGATCTTAATGAATGTGGGAACTTGAGTCGGTGGCCCCCATGAGCTTTGCATTACTGGTCCAGCTCTGGTCCATCTCCAGGGCTCTCCTCAGGGTTGTGAAAGGTTTCTTTCTAGCCTGTTGGCTTATCTGGAGGACTTCTCGGCCACTGGAGACCCACGTGTACTGTAGAGTCATGGCGATGGTTATGTCCAGATTGGTACCGAAGCTCCTCTCCCACTTAACCAGCCCTGGTCACCATGAAACCTGACTGCCATCCCTAGTGTGAGCCTGTCCCCCCCTCCTCACCTGTGAAACCTGTGCCCAGCCCGTTCCACAGTAGTGAACCTCAGGCAACCACCCATGCTTGTTCAGGGAACAGGCTGACCCTTTATTTCCTGCACACTGTTGATGGGAGAGTTCACGCAGCCTCTTACTTGGTCCTTCCAGCAGCTCTTGAGTATCGCTTAGCAAACAGGGAGAAGCAGGCCAGAGAGGCTAGGAATTCGCTCCAGGTCACTGTTGCCTTGAGAAGGTTGAGAGGAGAATTCTAGCCTCAGGTCTGGACCTCGGCTTTTCTGTTAGCACATCCACCAGACTTTGAGAAACTGACTCTCCTGTCCTCTTTGTCTCTCTTGTTTCTCAAGGGTCCTCAGTGAATTCTGTCATGGTTATTTAAGGAATCTTGCCTAGGAAGTCCCCACAAGCACGCAGTTCCCTGCCGCCGGGAAGGCGTGGACTCCAAGATGATCATAAAGGAATACCGGATTCCCCTGCCAATGACCGTGGAGGAATACCGCATCGCCCAGCTGTACATGATACAGGTGAGTCCAGAGAGACGGCTGGGGCAGGTTAAGTTGGGTGGACTCCAGCCTGCACTACAGGGTACCGCCCAGGGACACGGACTGCTGCTAGTGTCTGTGAAGCACTGCACCTTGGCAGGCTGGGTTCTCGTGGGATCAGATTATCTTGCCACCACTGGACTCCCCGCCCTCATAATATATTACATAGGATATTCCTCTTTGCATTTATCACCCATCACCCTGCACAGCTGTTATTTCAGCTCTCAGCCCAGGCTGCTGTCACAGCGTATCCTATCCTTTGGCTTAACCATCAGGGACTCTTCCGTGCTGCTTGGAGGCCGCTTCCCAGATCAAGGGTGGGCAGGGTGGGTTTCTGGTGAGGATGATCTTCCTGAGTTTCACGTGTCCTCACATGCAGTGGGCATGTGACAGTAGTCTTCTTCTACTGATAAGTATGTTAATCCCACTCTTGTGACCTCATATAAATTAGTTCCCAGATGCACAGCCTCCATAGATTATCACACTGGGAGTTGGAGCTTCATTGTAGGAACCTGAGGAGACACGTTTGGTCCCAACCCCTCATTTAAGACAAGGTCGTGTGAGGCAGGGCTAGGCTAATAAGCTGTGTAGGAGCACAGGGCCTGGCTCCTGGCCCCCAGATCTGACAGGAGAATGGGGTTTATCACCGGTTTAGTCCTGTGCAATCCCGGAACCACCCTGGACTCTCTCCTCAGTGCCAGATCAGCTGTTCATTCCACATACTTCCAGCCCAGATGTCAGACCTGCCCACTGCTCACTGCCCACTGCCCACTGCCCACTGCCCACTGCCGGGTACTGACCGAGTCCTTGCTCTGCAGAGCTATCTGTCCCTGCTTTACAGCTCCCCTTCTCCCTCACCCACCCTGGAGATTTTCCTCCATGCCAAGGGCCCAGAGCCTCTGCCCTGATTGTAAGTCATCTCTTGGCTTGGCTCTGGCTTTTCTAGATAGATTGGACCTCGTGTTCCTGTTACCCACTGGGTCCTGTATCTGACTGACTTCTCGTGTACAGACCTCCAGTCATTGCATTACCCTGAATCCTCAGTATGGACGGCTGAGGGCAGGCCCCGGCCTGCAGGGCTCCCGCCTCCTACCTGGGTTGTTTGTTTTTACTTTTCAAGACAGGGTTTCTCTTTGTAGCAGTCCTAGAACTCTCCTTGTAGCCCAGGCTGGCCTCAAACTCACAGAGATCCGTCTGCCTCTGCCTCCCTGGTGCTGGGATGACAGGCGTGCGCCACCATGCCCGGCTTTTCCCAGCTGGTTTCTGATGGGCTTGTACCTTCGGCCCGGAGGCTCAGTACCTGTCTAAGAGGAGCTTGAAGCCATTGGAGTTTAGTCAGCTCGCACAGGAGTGCTTCGGCTGGGAAAGGAGCAGGAAGTGCCCCCAGCCTCTCCGGGGGACTGTTTGCTCTGAGCTGCTTCAGAAGCGCTGCTCAATTCCCTCTTGAACCACTTACCCCTTAATTATTTCTAGAGAGTGGGGAGAGGAAGAGCTTAAATCAGGCCCCAGCTCTGAGCACTCTGGAAATAACTCAGTCTGTTCAAGGACCAGACTCATCTGCCGATGGTGCCGTTCGCCTGCGGCTTCTTGGTTCCCTTCTCAGCAGTGATCCACGGCCTTGGAAGGACAGCCCCCCTGGCTTCCTGGGGTGGACATTCAGGGTCCAGCAGCGTGACCTCGGCCACTGGAGTGCCGCAGTCATGCAGTCATTGTTCCGCAGCCCCTCCAAACACCTCATTTCCCAGCATCAGCCCTGAAGCTTCCAGTCACTTTAACTGTGGAGTGACCCACATCATCTGTGTGGGACTCAGATCTGTATCCAGACTACACAGTCCACTGGGCCAGTTTGCGCAGTGTCTTTGGTGCCCGTTGATCTGCTAGCTGGGACTGTAGTAAGTAGAAGCGTCTCCTACCTTGTAGGTCACATGTGTCTGCACCCTCACAAGTGCCCTTCACTGCTGCCGTGAGCTTCCGGTGTCCCTCCCTACGTCTCTTCCAGTGAGCAAGTGTGTGCACAAAAGACAGAATGGTGAACAAGCCAGATGTTGCCGGGGGAGGTGTTTCTGGGCCAAGTGCTAGCTATCGTGTCCAGAGGGAGGCTGAGGAGCATGGTTAGCATATACGAGTGTATATGTTAACGTGCGTGTGTGTGTGTGTGTGTGTGTGTGTGTGGTGTGTGTGTGTGTGTGTGTG